CTAAATTGTAGCCATTTTGACAGCTATAGGTAACTGTACTGTTGTAAGAGTAAGAGTTTGATGAATATGAAACTGACAGTCCTTCACTGGATTCAACCATTAGCTCAGTGCAATTTACTGTAAAATGTTATGATTCAAGCAGTTTTTATATAAGTAGCTAACCAATCTGACAGTAAGGTGGGCTCCCACTCCAATTTCCACTGCTCTGACAGGTCCTTACAGAAACTCCAACTAAATTGTAGCCATTTTCACAGCTGTATGTAGCTGTACTATTAACAGTTGTAGTGTTGTAGCTCAAAATAGTTGCATTCGCATATAACTGATCTGGAGTCCCACATGACCCTATTTAAAATGATTGTACATATTGATAATAATAATAATTTGGATTGTATTATATGCTCACCAATTGGAGAAGTAATGATTTCAGCTTCATTGACTTGAAAGATCCAAAGTCCTGCTACTTCTACGTTGCTGGTAGTTTCAATATCAATCACTGCTGGCGTCCTAGAGCCTTGTACAGCAAAATATGTGGCATTTTGCCCTCCAGAGTTAAATCCAACATAAGCTTCTGTTCCACCAATGCCATCTTTACCACCACTTGCATCACCAGTGACCCAGTTTATACCATCATCAAGGTAAAGGAAGATGACATAGGAACGACCTCCATCAGTAGCTAGGACACATTGAAATGTATTGAGCTATAATTATGTTAAGTGAAAAGATTAGAGTGTTAATGTTATTCATACTTTGTCATCATTCTTCTCATAATATCCAACTTCAGACCATGTCACTATTACAACAGTTTTAGCTGTAAATGGAGGCTGGTTTGGAAATGCAAGTGCAATATCCTGGGCCACTTTGCTTACGATGGCACTAGCAGCAGTTTCTCTGTAATAGACTGTTCCAGCTCCACGGCGTGTGTCTACATCAGCCCAAAATGGAGCAATCAGTGTTTCAGGTAAAGGAAATGGCTCAGATGTGTATCCCTCAACTGCCATATTAAATGAAAGGAGACCATTGTTGTTTATCTGCATAATGAGTGAAAGACATTCTATTTTAATATTCACACTTACAAAGACGGTACTGAAATTTGTGCCATAAAAGACAAAGTTACTTGTCAGATTTAAGAATGTGGATTCATCATCCACATTAGTAAAAGTTTCATCTGTTGATTCTCCATATGCATAGAAACGTGATATGGGGACAGAAAGACCTGCAAAAAAAATGATAATACTGATATAATTTTATTAGTAACACAAAATACTGACAGCTTTGAAGCAACAGCGACAAAAACAGCAACAGCAAATATCCCAGATTCATTCTGACTCGTTCTGACTCTTGAAATTATATGAAAAAAATTAATTTTTGCTCTCCAAATTTATAGATCTAGAGGAGCCACACCTGTAAATGGGTGTGGCTCGACACCAACACTGCACTAGCACTTGCACTATAACATCATAAAATTCATAAATATTAGAGTTAACACTATCCCGCCATTGGCTGGTTTCCACTTTCCAGACACTAGACAGGGTCCCTGATTACATAACAGATGTGAGTACAGAGTCTCTTTGACTGATTTTTTGCACCTTTACCTTAAATAATGACATTACACCTCCATTATCATAACCTAATAATACAGTCCCAAAATGTGCTAAAATGAATAAAGTATGTACACATAATAATATGCATACACTCTAGTGGGAAAAAGTGTAGCTAAAACTAATGATTGATCATAAATTATCAACTATGAATATTAATGACCCAATGCTTCAAGATGTAGACATGTCATACGAGTAATGCATAGTATATTTTGTGTAGGTAACTCCATACTTCTTCATCTTGATATTACTGGAGATGATAACTCGCTGGGTACAAGGACTCCCTAGATTACGTTTAACCATAGGCTCTCTCTCAGCTGGAATGTTCATGCTAATGCTTAACTTGGTTCTATTTCAGAGCATTGAGCTAGTTGGGTACGTGTGGGTGTACAACAATTACAGGTTGTTTTATACATCACTTGGTTCATTTCATTTTAACAATATAATTAAGAAAGAGTGCAGCAATGCTCTGGTTATATCCTCAAGGATTTGATACACTTTTTTGTCACACAAAAGGCTCTATATGAGCTAGCTATAGGATCAATTGATGAATATTTCTAATAAATCTCTACATGAACTATTTTTATAGCATAAACAACCATTCTTTATAATGAGTCCACTTTAGAAGGTATATATGTATGCAAGTAAAAATACACAACAGAAAATAAAGGTATTGTTATTGTTTTCATTTCTTCTTAATCTCTTCCTCATCACTGGAATCATCAGTAAAGTACAACTTTACTTCCATCATTGATGAGCCCTCATTTCCTTCAAAGTTTATCGATGCCTATATGGGAGCAAACAATGCCTTTCTGCAATATAAATGTTTTATTTTCACCTCTTCAGGGCTAGTTACAGTATCATATTCGTAGTCAGCAGGTCGAGATGTGTTCCTATTAATATTAACAGCAATGCACATGCATTTATAAAGCAATAGGCTTACACAGACAATGTTGTTGCTTTTTTACTGGAGGTAATTGGGACATCATAAATGTTTTTATTATCACCACTAAAGATAAAAATTAACAAGTATATAGGTGTATTTAAGTATTATAGTAGCTACCTTGCTTTCTTCTCATCTCCATTTCGAGGTGAGCTTTTTATATCAGCAAAAGATCTTAATAAAAGACAAATGAATCTACAATGAGAGTTGAGTTATACTTACAGTTCTTTCATCTCATTATCTGGATCATATTCATTTATGTACATCTTGTTGTTAGCACTTTCATATTCATTTGAGTCACTACTAAAAGCATCAAAAAAGGACACACAAGTTCAAAAAAACTTACTTCTCTCTCTTTCTTCTCCTCCTACTCAT